CCCTCCCCCTAACATGTCCTTGAAATGCAAAGCAACCGACCCCAGGGCTTGATTTGCTGTATTAACGCCCCACCCAGACCCCTCCAGATGGGAGATTCCAGCTGTCCGCAGGAGAAGGCAAAGGCTCCCGGAAGTCAGTGCAGCCACGCCCTCCCGGGGGACGTTCTGTTCTTTGCATTTTGTGCTGTCATAAAACCATCACTCTTAGAACAACTTCCTGCCATGCACCCTTTGGGATTAGGGCTTTGGACAAAAGGAAGCACTACAACCCTCAGATAAAGAGAGGCGGAGACAGGAGCAGCTCACCCTGCCCGGGCCGGGAGGCTGCACCAGAGCCCTGGGCCTTAAGGGCCAGCGGGAGTGACCGGCAGAGGCGGGGAAGACGGCTGGGTAGGGACAGTGTGTGCAACAGCCAGGCAGCCTGCAAGGGCTGGGGAGCAGGGGAGGGAGAGGGGGCGTGTGGTGTGTGCATACAGGGCGGGAGTGCAGGGGGAGGGAGGGGTGGTCAGAGCACACTGTGTGCCCGGAGGGGACTCTGACCTTTATCCAGCACCAACAGCCACCAGCCAAGCGGCCTGGCGAACGTGTTTTTATACTCTGCCTCCACCTGAACCACCAATACCTCCACACACAGCGGGAGTGATTTCAACGAAAACAGATGCTTGACCCCTCACCATCTTCCTTTGCTTCTGGGCGAAGCCCCAAACCACCAATACCCTGCGTGGCCCTGCTCCTCTATCCTGACCTCGATCCACGGCCTTCGGCTGCTTCAGTCCTCGTGTTACCTTCCGACCTCAAGGCCTTTGCACCTGAAAGGTCCTGTTCCTCCCTCTTTACCTGGTCGCTGCCCCCTGGCTGCCAGGTCTCACCTCACTGCTGCCTACTCAGGGAGCAGCTCTCGTCACCCCACCCCAGCCCCAAGTCTGGTACCCATTCCAGGCGCTCAGTCCCACGTCCCCTGGAGCAGCACCGACCTCTGCGTGACCACATGTTCACTGTCGGCTCTCCAGCTAAAGAAAGGGTCCGAATACCAGGCCTGGGCACCCAGCAAGAGGTCTAAATGACACTTAGCTAAGAAGGGACCCAGGCCAGAGCCAGGACCAACAGGCCAGGCTCCCTTCCTGCCCTCAGACCCAGCGCCAGACTCAGCAGGGGCTCTGCCTCTCCCTCCACCCCAAATGGCCAGGGAGGGGGCTGGGGCCCTCACAGTGGAGTTAGGACAGTAAGCCTGGGCCCAGGGCGCTGAGCCAAAGCTGCCATGAGGCTTTGGCCTTTGTTGGGGATGGTCTCTGAACCCCACGCCCACCGGCTCAGGTCGGTCCGCCTCTGTTGGACGTGCAATCAGAGAACGTGGATCAGTACTGTGAAGTCTGTTTCTAATTTTCACAAAAGGCCCTGTGCTACAGTCGTCACTTCTCTTTGCACTCAGCACGATGTTTTTACAATCCTGGCTGGTTGTGTGTGTTTCCCTGGTCCACGGCCTGTAACGTCTGTGTCATCCTCAACACTCACGCACCCACACTCTGGCCCCTCTCCTCTGCTCCCCACGGGATGCCCATGAGCTCCTCACACTGCACCCCTGGGGAGTCTGCGAGATGTCTCTCAGGGACACGCACCCAGGAAAGGACCTACTGGGCAGAAAACCTCGTGTGACTGAATGCGGTGGAACGGGTGGCCCAGCCACCCCGAAGGCGCCCAGCTCTGAGAGCGGGACAGTGAGCTTGGCGCCAGCTGGTCGGCCATCCTGGTCCCTTCTGCAGATGGGCTGGCCTTGTGTGAAGACCTCAGCCTGAGCCCCCCACACGTGGCGGTTATTGGTCAAATACAATTTGCTGTTCACTCTGAAACCAGGCCTAAGAAGCGCCAGGTCGGCAGAGACCAGGCTTCAGGAACATGGGCTCCCCTGGAGGCCTTGGCCCCCACACCTCCCACACCTGCCCCTGCGTGGCTGTGGCCTCAAGACCTCACCTTGATGACCAGGTCCACGAAGCCCTTGTCGTCATCGCTGGAGACAGGTGTGTAGGGACGAATGACCAGGTTCCCATCAATTCGAGCAGAGAGGTAGATGTGCTGGCCTGCAGGATGGGTAGAGGTGACCCTGGGTCAGGGACTATCCCTGCAGGGTCTGCTGGGATAGTCAACCAACTGCCCGGTGCCCACCCAGCAGTCAAAGCCTGCCCTGGCTCGGCTCCCACTGCCCCCTCAGGGATTCCCATCATGCCCCAGCTTCCCGCCACCATGCCTTTGCTTGTGCTGTAGCCAATGCCAGGGACACCAAGGCAGTGCCTCTCTCATTCTGACACTTACTCTTAAGGCCCACAGTGGCTATCACCTCCTTCTTAAAGCCTTCCCTGCTCTCTCTAGTTAAAGTGCAAAGTTCCCCCCCCCCCGACCTAGCACCTGCCTCCGTTTGGACTGGGTTGGGGCTGCACTCACCAACAGGGAGGCCCAGGATATGCTGGGGTGACGGCAGGGCAAAGCGGAACCGCCGGGTGTCATGGTTGATGACCTGCAAAGAGGCCCGAGCTGTTGGACGGCACCCAGGGCAGAGGGGCCACAGACCTCAGAGCCCCCACCCCTCCCCAGTGTCTCCAAGTCATTGAGAGAAGTGACACTGATGTCATCACATGTGGACACAACCTGCAGGAATGTGTGCAAGGGCACAGAGGTCAGGTTCACGCTGGGTGTGTGCCTCTGTTCTCACTGGTCCAGAGAAGGACAGTCACCTGCCTAGGGCCACACAGCAAGACTGTCAGAGTGGGAATTGTACTCAGAATCTCAAAGGGAAGCTACCAGATGGCCCAGAAAATTACAGGGGCAGGAGGGAGGGACCCACCTCTGCTATCAGCCCGAGTGGTGTCCTGGGGTGGCAGGAAGAACCCAGGGACTGGCTGGCAAACTAGGGGCAGAGCTGAGACAGGGACCCAGATGCCCAGGTAGAGGCTCAAGAGAGGGGCTCTGAAACCACTACACTCAAAATCGCCTGTGAACCAGGGCAGCCACAGCTGCACAGGGTAGGAGGCGTGGCAGCCTCACTGCCCCGGGTCCATGGTGAGAGGGTAGCAGCTATTTCTCCTCCAAGGTGGGGCAGAGGCTGGCTAAGAGAAAGGAGCCAGGATTAAAGCCCCAGAAACCCCCCTAACTGGTCTTAAACTGAGGCCAGGCCAGCTGTGGTCAGAGCTGGGAACCGAACCTGGCACCCTGACTCCCAACCTGGGCTCCAGAAGGCCGCTGTGGGGTCCCCCTGCAGCCAGGAGGATGGGTGTGGAGGGGCGGTTGGGAAGTCAGGTAAGTGTCCAGCACATGTTCACATAAGGCCAGGTGACATGGCAAGGTCCACTGACAGAGTGTTCTCACCAGGTGGGGTGGGGGGACACAAAGACTTCTCCACAGGGACAGAGCAGCTCTGAGCATCACTGGAGTGTGTGCGCAGGGGCACCTGGCCTGGATCTCATGGGAGGTAGCGCCCAGTGGCGGCAGCAGCCAAGGCCTGAAGCTGCCTCCCCCAGAGGCCTTTGCATTCTGGGCAACAGAGACCGAAGGCTTCCTAGGAGCAGATTCCAGAACCATTGACTGGTCCTGGGGCTCAAGGTCAGACACCCACAAGCCAGATAATTTTTGGAGGAAGAACAGAAATGAGGGAGACACTGACAATTACTGTGCTGGACACCCTCTCGCAGGGCATAGCAGTCAAGAGGCTAAATCTGTGCCGGGCTCAGCAGGGGGCCAGCATCCAGGAGACTGTTGGCTGAGACATCTGAGCAGCAGACTCAGAGAACCTTCCGATCACCTGGTCCCGTCCAGGCAGCAGGGCCTTCCCCAGGCCCATGGCGGAGCACAGCAGGAGTATCAAAAAGCAACCCCACCTGCTGACCCTGAAAAGCCACCAGTAGGCTAAAATAACTGCTAGGACATTTGCACATGCTCAATCAGAGGGGACCGGAGGTCCACTGTGTGACATCCCTATGACGATGTACTAGACGGTCGTCAAAAATAAGGAATCAGCTTTGGGATACACATGTAAAAGTGTCCATGTTATATGTCTGGGTTAAAAAAAATAAGGTTATTGCCCTGGCTGGTTTGGTTCAGTGGTTAGAGTGTGGACCTGCGGACTGAAGGGTCCTGGGTTCGAGTATGGCCAAGGGCACGTACCTCTGTTACAGGCTTGATCCCAGGCCCTGGTTGGGGCTCGTGCGAGAGACAACCAATTGATGTGTCTCTCTCACATCGATGTTTCTCTCTCTCTCTTCCCCTTCCACTCTCTCTGAAAAGCAATAGAAAAAATATCCTCGGGTGAAGATTAAAAAAAAAAAAAAAAAAA